TTGGTATTCCAAGGGAATATGCAATATTCCAGTAAAGTGCAGCAACAACAACAACTGCAACAACTACAACACTATTTAACATGTAGTGCAGTATGTATGCAGACTGTTTAATAAAAAGACCAGTTGAGGGTGGAATAAATAAGAGAAATATGGCTTATACTCATATATATATTTATATATATATATATAGATATAAGTATAGATATCACATTTTGCATTTGGCAATAAAGAGACACACAAATGATGTCGCAACATACTTATATATAATATATATACATATATATGAATACATGTGGCATTATCCTTAGTTAAGCTCTCCTTACTTGCCACCATCGCTTTGGACGTCATACATAAATATCTTTATTTATTCACATATGTATGTACGAACATTATGCTCCTCTCCAGCTGGTGTCCTCTGTCTTGGCGGCTTCTTGGCTTAGTCATCAGCACTGACTACTTCTTCGCTATTGGTGCGCCTTCATTTGGCTTTTGGCTACTCGCATTTTCATGGCAATTGTAATTTACGTTAAATCGATGCGTCGTGAAACCATAGAAATGTTTATCGTTTAATTTAAAACATAAACATTGGTTAGGGCGACTCTCATTCTGCTTGAAACCACGAAGAAGAGTTGATCCAATGAAGATTGCCGTCTCGCAGTGGAGAGAAAATATACTCAATAGCTCACAACACTCGCTATGTGGGAGAAATATGGAGAATTGAAGAGAAAAGCGAAACGCATATGTGATCCATAGAGTGATGCTCGATTCGAGTTCTATGAGAAAATGCGGTGGCTTAGAGAAAGTTTCACGACCTTAGCATACTAATGTAGAAGCCAAGGAGGTATCTTGTGACCAGTGGCCAGAGCGACAAAGATAGCTAAGTAACAAATGTACGTATGAAGGAGTACAAGAACTGAAGTGAACAACTTCTTTGTCGATTTTAAAGCTGTCTTCGATAGCACGCAAAGAGATGTCTCTATGCCGCTATATCTGAATTTGGTATACCCGTAAAACTTAGACGACAGCAAAGAAGTCTGATCCTGAGCACACACAAAAGCTCCGTCAGTCTCGGTAAGGACCTAACCAAGGCATTCAAAATTAAATGAGGTTTCCAATATGGCGACTCTTTATTAATAATACGAGCTGCGGAGACAAAGAACTGCCGTACAACTTCTAGCGACATTATTTGCATCAACAACCGAGCCCCGCTTTCGGTTAACTACAAGAAGGACCGAGGAAAATGGGTTTGGTAGTGAATGAGGGCAAGACAAAGTGACTGCTGTAATCAAGTAAGCAGCCGACGCATTCACTTCATACCTTTCACCTCATTTTTAACAATAATAGCTTCGAAGTTTGTAAATAATTTCGTCTATCTGGGGAGCAGGATTACTTATAACTATATCTTATTTGCGCTTTGAAGAAGCGGTTTTCGGCCGAGCTTCTCCTCCGATTTCTGGTTTGCCTCTTGACATTTTCCAAATGTAGGGACCTAGAGTTTATTCCAAACCCTCACCGAATTGCCGATGGACTTTTTATTTCATGTCTGAAATACATTCGGAGGCGAAGACATTCCCTGTCGAGCGGCGAATGGAATTATAAAAATTAATTTTCTATATTTTTTAATATTGGTCGAACAAGAACTCGAACGCTGGCCGTCAGAATGGCAGTACGCATACTAACCACTCGGATATATTTTTCTTTTATTTTTTTTTTTACTTGTAGAAGCCTCTCCACTTGGCCGCCCCCAAAGGTAATATTGCCTGCCTTTAAATCCAACGCAGAATCACTCTTGCCAAAAAGAGATCCTTTGGGAAAAAGTAGATAATTGAAAAGTAATATCCTCTTTCGTACAAGAACCGAGTTCTAAAAGTCGCTCATTTTTCCGGTTCTGCTTTAATGATCAGAAGTGTATGCGATGGCGACATGTTTTGAGTCGGAGCTAGAAGCTTTCGAGAGAATGGTTTTGTCATTATATAACCTCTAGTCGCTTACGATTGTACTATTCACTCTCTTTCTCTCTCCACCTCTCTCTCTCTCTCTTTCTCTCTTCACTTGTTACACTCATACTCAAAGACAAAGTTCTTCTGTTTTTAATGACTCACTTAATTACAATGGCTTAAAAAGTGGCAAAAGTTGGTATTTTCGACATACTCAACGGTGTGCTGAGCCACTGCACTGCAGTAATTAAACAACAGTTGAGAGAGAGTACACAAAACACAACAACAACTACTACCATGAGAAATAATTATAATAAGAAATCAGCTGACATTCAAGGAGCGACTGTCAGGCATTTTGTGACTCGTAAGCAATTTCGATATTTGATCATTAAAACTTTGCAACATTTTCCACCTTTAACCAATACACACATACCCACATATGTATATATATACCATAGAATGTATACTTGAATATCCAACAATTTGTAATTTGTTACAACTAACATTCTCAGTGGCTTTCATTCTCGCTTACTTTCGATGGGGATATTTTTCTACTCACACACACACACACACACACGCGCGCGCGCGCGCGAATACACACACATGCATACAAGCACAGTACTCACAACGTACATACCTACATATATGTGTATGATATTTGCTTCTCTGTTAAAGTTTTGTCTGCAACGCCTTTCAACTCCCGTTCAACAGCCAGCCTCAGTCAGTCAGCATTTAACGGGAATTTTTAAGTTCGTCCATTAATTCGTTTAAGTATTTACTTTATGTGCCAAAGTGGAGCGCGAAAAGCCGTACAAGCACCGTCCCGCAAAAGTAAACAAAACCGCCAGACAATAACCAATAAAAAGTAGCAACAACAACAAGAGCAACAGCTACAGCTACAGCTGAGTGGCAACGTCACACGTGGCATGTGGCAGCCTTTCGTAACGTGAAAAGGGTTGTGGCAGTAACGGCTCGCAGTTTGCCGGCTGGCTGTTTGGGTAGGGTCGGGTTGGTTAAAGCACGAGTCAGCAACACACGGCAACAGTGTCAGCAACAGCACAACCAAATAACAACAAAACTTATTATCGATGAAACAAATTGTGCAGCACTAACAAACTGCCCATTAATGTAATCAGGCAAAGTTGTAAGCAAACTAGCAAACACACATACATAACTACATGCATACACATATACATATATACATATGTATATAACGCTAACCAAACAATGGATCACATAATGAGGTGGAATGATTTTAATAGCATACATACGTATATACTCGTATACACATATACAGCCGACAGCATACAGACCGATTCATGAAAACTCTTTTTTTTTTTTTTTTTGTTGAGGTAGGTCTCCGCGGGGACAATCACCTTGACGTCAGTGCGAAAGCATAGTTTGATCGCCAATTAGTACTGTCCTGGATGTCGGTGACGTAGAATATAGCTTTAGCTTAAGATTTGCGCTACCTTTCAGAAATTAAATGAGTTTCTGAAGAAAAACTGATCAAGAACTACGAAATTCTCTATCCTGGGTGTTCTGCATGCCATGCCTTTTAGACGCTTTCGCTGCACTTGGCCTTATCGTAGCAGGGCATTCTGACTAACTACTTCGGTGAACGTTATAATTTTTTCTTTTCTGTTACTCGATATTTGGGTGGAACACCTGTTAGACCATCTGGTCGTACGTCAGTGCAAATACAGTAAATAACAAAACGAATGGTAAAGATGTAAAGAGCGCGCCCCAACGATGATCAATAACAAGGGTACGTGAAAAAAACTGTCCCAAAAGAGAAAATGGCATCTTTCTAACGCCATCTAGCGGTGCCCGATCGGACTTATGCAACGTGAGATACAGGTAAATAACGACATCTATTTGAAAAATAATGGTTTTCTTTTTACTACACCAATATCTTGGTTGTGCAATACACTCGTATATGAAAAAACCCGACCGTACGTTGTTGTGAATTTCTAGGACTTTTTCACTTTACATATTGTATTGTAATTGTTTATAATTGTCTACTGTCTGCCATTCGGAAGTGTTCCGACTAAGTCATCGTGGTCATTTAACAGGAGGTCCAGGAATCGAGCTGTTTTGACGGGTTTGGATCAGAGAGAAAGTAAAGATGCGGCTAGGCTTGTGCGGGTACTCATTGGATTGAGTATTTACTGCCATTCAGAAGAGTTCGGTATAAGTCATCGAGATCATCCAACAGGAGGGCCAGGAAACGAGCTGTTTTGACGGGTTTGGATCAGAGAGAAAGCAAGGATGTGTTTAGGGTCATGCGGGTACTCATTGGATTGAGTCGCCTAGGATTTCATTCGCCCGAGGACTGTTACCCTTTCGGTCATCTAAAAGCAAAGCGTTCATGTTAACTGGCAATATTAATCATCCACTTTCTCTCCCACCTTACTTAAAGCACAAAATTTCATGAAGTCAACAAGTCAACCCCAGAAAAGCAGAAAATGAATTGAAGGCTGGTAGGTCTGCTTAGCTGTGATTCTGCTTTTAGAACCTCTAAAGAAGTTTTTCTAAAAAAACTTGAACTTACGACTACAACAACGTTAGAAAACTTACTTCGATTCTTAATATATATATAGTATATATTTCCGCACAAAACAGTCTACAAACACATAAGCAAACCCAAAATCATTGCGCTCATATAAATTTTTCTTCTCTTCGAAAGCATTTACTATCTTTGAAGCCGTTTGAGGTCGAAGTTGAAACGGAAAAATCGCGAGTTTCTCTTAAATTCAAATATCCGACACTCAGACTATGTGAATTCTTTCCGACTCACTGTATGTTTGTAACACATTTTTATAAAACAAATACACAAAATTTGACAGTTTTTTTTTACATAAACCAGTCGGGAATATCTCTCTAAGTAATGGGAAAAATTTCTGGAAAATCCGTGAACCGTTTACCGTGAACAGACAGAAAGACAGTGCGAAAAATGGGTTTTCTAATATTCCTTTTCTGTTCTGTTTTCTTGACAACTTTTTTGTATCTGTATATTTGTGTTCGTATATTTATATTTATAAATAATTTTCATTTACTCACCTTGGTCCCCAAACGAACTTTTTAAATTACTTCAGCAACGATTTTGATTGACTTTAAAAATCTGAAAAATCCATAAAGAGGAGTATTTAGAACCAAATTGAATATTAGCCACTACAAATGGAAAACTACAAAATGATTGTCTATAATAAAAATTTCATTTCTACTCGTATATCCATCACATTCCAATACCGAAAAAAAAATTGCTTATGAACTGGAAAATTTTGTGTTACAAACACCAAATGAAGAGATCAGAGTAATATATTTCTTATGAAATATTGCTTCACCACAATGTATACAGACTTTGGCGTATGTATGTATGTACTTGTATGTATGTATGTATGTACTTGTATGTATGTATGTATGTACATGCATATAACCACAAATAGCTATTGCCGAATTGAGTAGTCTTTTTTAAAAAATAAAAAAATAAATAAATAACGAAAGAAATTCTCACATTTAGTAGCTAATACAAATATTTACTGCCACAAATAGTTTATCGGAATCGTAAAATTTTCAAGAAAACTTAGTTTACCAAATCCAAACGCCTCCTGCGTAAGTGTGTTAAAGTAAAAACGCAGATGAAGCTATAAATATAATCAGGCATACATATATTATACATATGTACATACTTGTGTATATATGTATATTGCAGAATGCTGTTGTAATATATGAAGTGTAAAGATTTTATTACCGTAAATGAGGTGAAGTCTTGATATTTGTTTCACACCACCAGCGACCTCGCATAAATCTGTTTAGTAAATTTCCAAAAAAAAAAAAATTGCTTTATATTCCAATTACGCAGTGTAAATAATAAATTTACTCAATAAAATTACATACAAAAAGCACAAAAGTGTTTTTGAGAGAAAAAATGTTTTCATTTCACTCATTTCAATAACCGATCTCGGGCAAAGGTCAGCTGTAATAAAGTTAAAACACCACAGTGAAATAACGCACAATTGGACAGCGAAATGCCGTTAGTCAATAAACTGCAGCGACGTGCGAAATGCAACAAAAAAAATTTTAAATTTAATCGAAACAAAAAAATTTCTAGGACCAAAAAAAAACACCACACAACCCGTTGTTAAGAATTTAAAATGCGCCGCGAAATTTCCTTTCAACACTTTTGGCCGGCTGCGTTGGTAACACCGCATGCCGCAAGCATTTTCTTGCTATTCTCTGTAAATATACATATATATGTACATATGTATATAGTCCGACGTGCGTATTTAAATGATGGCGCAAATAAAAGATATAATTTATTAAAAATGCATTTAACAGCCTAGTGAAGAGGCGTAAGGCAGTGCAGTTGCGACGATGTCGACGTTAGCAGCGTCGCCGCTGCGTTGTGTGGGAAAACGCTGCGTAATTGCAAAATCGGCTGATGATATTGCGGGTTAACCGCAGTTGTGGAGTGCTATGCGTTGGAGTGCGAAATATTACATACAAACGTACAAATATATATATATATATATATATATATATATACAATTATATGTAGAAAAGTAGTGCAGCACTGACCATGTGATGAGTTTGGTGTGGAGAAGAGTCGCACTTTCATTTATATCCATACACAAATGCTCGCCAACTGGCCACACACGAATTTAAATTTAATTTGTTAAATACGAAAATGGATAAAAACATTAAATTAAATTGCCAATGAGCCATAGAGAACCACATTTGTATTTATTATTGCAAACCAATCATCAGACCAAAGGTCCTCTCTGAAATAAACATATATTTTCATTAAATTCTTTTAAAATGGTTTCTGCCTTGTGACAAATGTAAAATTAAATTTTTTCTACAATACTATCAAAATACATATATCAATACCTAAATATATTTTTTATAATTTTTTCCCTCTTTTCTTACTCAACTCGTAGACTTAATTTTGCATTTGAGCGCATTAATCGCTCTTGAACTCACTATTTTCATTCATACTCTTCACTAGTCCTCCTCATTTTTCTCTTGTCTCGGAGATATCGGCATGAAAGGTTCGTTAGAGTGACCGGTTCTTTCAGACCTAGCTTAGTAATACCCCGAGGAAACTAGCATTCGCGTTCTAGTTTCTATTTTGTCCCCAAATAGTTCATTTTTCATTGTATTTCAATTAACTGAGTATACACCAGCTGTATACCAGTTAAATACTAGTTCATTCATACATGTTGAATATCTATTGTACTTCGCCGAAATATAAATAAAAAAACTTCGAAGCGCATTACAGCGACAACATCCAACCTCTTCTTCTTTCAAAAGTAAACCAATGGAGTAATCAAACATTTGGATGCTCCAAGATACTTATTTCGAGCAGCGCAGACCTTTGCTGTTCAGCTTTAGTAACCAGATATAATGCAGGATACTAAAAATAGAATAGAATGACACTCAAATAGATATAATTGGCGCTTGGTAACCGATGAAGTGATTTTCGGCTGAGCTCCTCCTGCGATTTTTGGTTTTGCTTCTTGTCTTTTTTTCCAATAAATGGGGAGACTTAGAGTTAATACTAAACCGCCGCCGAACGGCTGATGATTTTTTATTAGGAGGGGCTGACATTCCTTGCGGAGGGTCAACCGCAATTAGAAAAATTAACTTAATTTTTCATTTAAATTATTTTTCCAAAACTTTTGGATATTGGTCGTACCAGCGTTTAAATCTGGGCCTTTCGTATGGCAGTATGCAATGCTAACCCTTCGGCTATTACGGCCGCTCGAGTATATAAGCTTAAAAACTAAATGATTGGTTTGAAGCTCGCTTGAAGGTATCTGCTCAAAACCCCTTTTTGAACTAGCGGATTAGTGAAGCATTTTCCTTGTCGAAATTTCAGGTGTTATGGAGACTGCGGCTAAAAGCGGAACGAACAACGATCGATTTATTTTCAGCGGCAGCCAAGATGAGCTCTAGTCCTTCCCTGCGGGGTAAGAGTGCAAGAATTTTCTCGCATGCTTTATAGCCTGACGCAAAGGTGACTAAAAACCAAAAGTTCCCGTGGCAATCAGATCTTCAGAACTCGGCCGGTAATCGTTTCTGCGACTAGAAAGCGCCGATTCTATATATTTTTTTCGTAAACAATTATTAAGATTCTATAAAAAAGTTGCTATTTCCAGTACCTCCACGCGTTGTTCCTACCCAGCACAGCTTTCTCTTCCATTTAATGCCATCACCACAGCGCAAGTATTTTTAATCCAATGACGCAGATCGCACTTAAGGTGTTCTAGGGGCAACCGCACTGCTGCACTGTTTATTGCGTATTTCGTTGAAAAAAGTAAAGAAAAAATTTGATTTGCAACATCAAGGAAATGCCAATACGGTGGCGGTTGGGCGGGAGGGACAGAGAGCCGACGATGATCTCCATGCGTCGGCAACTCAATGGAAAAAGACATAAAATTTTTGGCGTTGATGCAATCAGCGAAAAAGATGAGCACACCTGTGTTGCGCAACACACACAAGAGCAAGTTGATGTGGGTAATAGAGAAAAAAAATAAAAGATATTTAAAATTACAAAAAAAAGTAATAATAAACAAAATTAAGAAAACGATTAAAAAAAAATAAAAAAAACTAGTGAAGGTCTCTTACTGGGAAATCAAGTGAGTTCTTTTGATAAATTTTCACTTTGAAGTTGGCTCACATTAATTGGGGCAATCAATACAGACGCAAAAATTTTAAAAGTAACGCAAGTTGGTCACACACATTTTAATTAGCTGCGGAATTGTGTTATTTTCATTTTATGTTTTTCCAATTTTTTTTTACTTTAAATTCATTTTCCGCTCTTTCAAGTGCTGAGCGGGCAACACCTGTTTTATGCCACTCTTTGGGCAGTTGTGAATTATACGAAACTACATACATATGTACAGCGATATTTCGATGCCGAACTCTTTCCCTTGCCTTTGATTTTCACTTTAATTTCCATTAAAGTTTTCCATCTCAAATTCACCCTTCATACATTTTCTTATGTAATTTCGTCATTATAAATAGAATCAATTGTATTGCGCTGCTATTGATGCATTCAAAGTTACATTTCTCAAACACGACAATGGAACTTGCAAAACTTTTACGCTCTAATTAATGCCAAACTGAAGTGAAAAGAAATTGCAAACAGCAATTTTGTTGACGACAATGGCGCATTGAATGTCCTTGTACTCATTATCCCTTAGCCATTATTGCACGATTTACACATATAACAATATACATACGTAATGTATTATTGTCTTATTGTTATTGTTGCGCCATCAATTTAAATTAAAGTGCTTTAAGACTTAAAATTGATTTATATTTCTCACTTATTTGAGATTGCCCCAAATGTAGGCTCCTAAAAATCAACAAAAAAATTTAAAATGTTAAAAAGCCTTCTGAACAACCAATGAAACAAACTCAACAAACCACACTCAGCAATGACCAATGAACACCCTAAGAAAAGTTTGTTGTTTAGCACTTGGAAACGATTTTCTACTAGGCTTGCTCTCTGCGAGCACTCATCAGCCACTCAGTACAAGAGAACTTAGGTTGAGGACTGCCGCGTCCCAATGGAGAGAAAGCAGGCTTCCTACCTCAATACGTTACACGTGCGTGTTGGGATAATTACCGAGAGCTGAAGAGGCACGCAACATGCAGTTGCAAACGAAAAAAAGAAAGAAGTCAAAATGCCTGAGCATGAAGAGCTTGAGAACCTGACCCACAAGGGTTATGCTCGAGAGCTCTATAAAAAAATTCGGCGTCTTACAAAAGGTTTCAAGACCGGAGAAGACTCTTGTAGTGCACAAGGATCTAGAAATCGAAGCCAAGAGTACTTAGGCAGCTTAAATGGAACATCCGGAGATGGGGAACCCGAAGTCTTAGTCGATGATGATGGGAAAGATGATCCACTACCAGACTATGACGAGATACGAATAGCGATTGCCCGCTTAAAGAACAACAAATCAGCTGGAGCTGACGGTCTACCGGCAGAGCTATTCAAATGCGGCGGTGATGAGCTGACAAAGTGCATGCATCCGCTACTTTGCAGAATATGGTCGGGCGAAGGCATGCCCGATGGTTGGAATTTAAGTGAGCTCTGCTCCAAAAACCGATT